TGGCGGCGCATGCGGCGGTGACAGGGTACGTTTTGACGGTCTGATCATTTATGGATCAGCTACACAATCTAATTAATACAATATCTACCCAAAATCACAACAAAAATTTGCCAAAGTCACCGAAAATCATTCGGGAATTTACCTCAATGGTAGGCAACGACGGTGCGATGGAGAGGCGATGATCCTTGCTGGGTTTTGGTCGCACGATGCTGGAGAAGCCAACAGAGGTTGACATGAGTGGTAACGCCGACAAGATCGACCGAAATCGATGAAAATAGTGGTGACTATTTAAGTTTTTTTGTCGTACGATCAAGCATCGATTCATGATGAATGACAGCGTTACTTGGTGCGATTGTGCTCAGGTTTTGGTCATCTGTCGAATTGAGGTGGTGATGCACTCAACGGTGGTCGGATTGATGCTCAACGGTGGTATGGGTGACGTGTAACTAGGGATTTAGGGTTGGGAAATTAAGGATTTAGGGTTTTTGGTATTATAACCCGAGCCTTAAGCATTAAAATAATATTTAATTATAAAATATCATAATAATGACCTAGCCTAAACAGTAGGGTGATGGTCGGACATGCTTGGGAATTAGGATTTGAACCCCCTTAGTCACACATTTTTATTTTTTTACTTTTCTATTGACCAGAAAATGAAAAATTTAGGGTTAAGTCCCTAAACTTCTTACAAGTTTAAAATTGAGCTTTAAGCTTCTGAAACTTGCAATTTAGTCCCTAAATCTACCAAATTAATTTATATTTTTTAATTTAAAATAGGGGTACGACACTATTCGATCGAACCTACCCTTTACCGAGCCTCAAGGCGATGGCTAGCCACCCGACGAACAACTACCGAAGAATCTGAATCGCGATTCAAATTCATGAACGTGACATAAAAAACAGAACAATTCGCGACTCCACGAGATCCGATGGAACAAGGGACTAGATAGGTGTCGAGGGTCAAAAAGAGAGAAAGAAATAGCGACATCGTAGTTATGGGCGTGGCTGAAAAGGGAGACTGTAAGGTTAGGTTATGATTTTTAGGGTTGATTTTAGGAATTTTTAAGGATTTGGGTTTTTTGTAATTAATAAAATAATATTTTTAATTTTTTTAAGAAAATAAAATTTTCAAAATTACTAGAACGTGGCAATTGTCGCTTAACGAAATTTTTTAACGGCCGTTACGACCAGGGCACCTAAAGTGGTAACGTTTGTAATTTGGATTGACCAGAAAAATGTTCAAACACCACTTTGGGGAAAAATGGTATAGTTTAGGCATTTTCTTTGTATTAAGCCTTTTTTTTAAATAGTCTAGAGTGATTATAAAGTAGTATCTATTTAGAATCTTGCTTAATCATTGACAATGCACAATCAGAGATGCAAGTGCTTGAACCTGAAACCTCTAAGAGGACGACACTAAATCATTAGTCAATAAACAATCAATTCATTAAAGATGATTCAACAGGTATAGCTAGACCACAATACTGATATGGCAAGTTCACGTGTGAAAAATGATGATGTGGCATGTCACATCAGTGATTTTTTAATTAATTTTATATAATATTTATTTTTTTAATAATTATCATCAACCATTCAGACATTGGCATATGACAAATTCTTATTGGTCTAAAATTAAAAAATCTAAAATTTGAAGTTAGAAGGGATCAAATCTAGATCATTGTGAGGAATAATTAGCACCTAAACCGTTGAGCAACATTTTCTTATTAATTATATTCTAATAAGATTATTATACAACCAAAATAAAAGTTTCATGAGATAATTTGTTCAGTGATGGATTACTTAATCACGCAAGCATTAAACTAGTCTTCGAACCAGATAACTTGTACTTTCTCAAAATGAAGATTATGTTGGGAAAAGTTGTTTAAATGAGGTTTATTTGTGGTTGAAAGTATGTTTGATGAGAATAATAATATCACAAATTCTGTATATATTGTTGAGTCTCTATGCTAGATTAGGTCATATTAGTTATTTGTTCTTGAAGGTATGTTTAATGAATATGCTCTCTAATATAGATTAATATAGTTTTAACAAATGTGAAATTTGTGTAAAAGTCAAACATACATGTTAGACCTCTCTTTAAATCCGTGACTAAAAGAAAGATTGAACTCTTAGAAATAATTCACACTAATTTAGCAGACTTTAGAAACTATGAGACTATGAGATAAACACTATTATATTACCTTTGTAGATTAATACGTTATATATATAAATATTTATCTCCTAAGATCAAAATACAAAGTTGAAGATTACTTTTTAATTTATAAAATTAAGTAAAAAAACTCAGCTTGATTATAGACTAAAACAATAAAGATGATCAATACGATTCTAATTTTCTTAAAGAAGCATGAATAAAGTCACCACATAAAAACAATTAAAATTAGAGAAAATAACCTCAGTGACCAAAAATGCCTTATAATATACGATTTTAACCAACTTTTTTTGGATTTGTCAAAATGACCAACTAAATCGCAATGCGATCGATAATTCGTAACGCGATCTCCGGTATCGCAAATCAGTTTCCAGATTCGCAACGCGATTCTGACTATCGCATTGCATTGCGATTTTCCAAATTCGCAATGCGATAGTCCAAAATCGCATTGTGATAGCACTGTTCACCGTTACGATAGCACTATTCACCGTTGCGATAGCACTGTTCACCGTTGCGATAGTGATCAAAATAAGAAGAAAACTAATCAATAATGATCTTGAAGGTAGTTTACCTGAAAATAAATATAGTTGAAGGATCAAATCGTGAATGAAGCTGATTGTTATCTATGAGCATTGTTTATCATTCTATCTTAAAGATTTTTAATTATTGAGTAATGTTTTGTTTGTGATGATTATGATGATAGTGAGCATTGTTTATAGTGAAGCTGAAAACTGTACAGGGAGACCAACACATGGTTGGCCATATGAATTTTCCATGGACCAATTTGCTGCTGGGTTTGAAGCTAAAACATTCCATGGTTTAGTATTTGTCTGGTCTTGATTGATGAGCTATCACTGTCTCTCTGAAATAATGCATCAATTTTGGTTCTAGAGATGTTTCACTGACATACTGGAAAAAAATTTACTGTATGAAAAAAAAAGATTAAATGAGTCTTAAATGCATCAGCATCTGTTAATTAAGAACTAGACCTATTAGAATAATATTAGAAAAAGAAAATGCACTTGGATCCAGATCTAGTGAACAGTACTATCGCAACAAAAAAATCCATTCTTAAACAAAATTAAACTTAAATAAATCCATACACCATTAAAGAGAATTCAAACAAAAAAAATTCCAAGTTTAAAGCTTTTTTTGCATCCTTCTGGACAGAAAATAACAGTATTATCGCAAATTCGCAATGTGAACAGTGCTATCGCAATGGTGAACAGTGCTATCGCAACGGTGAACAGTGCTATCGCAATGCGATTTTGGACTATCGCAACGCGAATTTGGAAAATCGCAATGCGATAGTCAGAATCGCGTTGCGAATCTGGAAACTGATTTGCGATACCGGAGATCGCGTTGCGAATTATCGATCGCATTGCGATTTAGTTGGTCATTTTGGCAAATCCAAAAAAAGTTGGTTAAAATCGTATATTATAAGGTATTTTTGATCACTGAAGTTATTTTCTCTAAAAATTATATGGGCACAAAGAAATACATACATATATATATATATGAAAAAACAATATGAACACACATATATATATATCTAAAAAATGCAAACACAAATATGTAAATTTTACTAAAATAATTAAATAATATATATATATATATATATTATGAAATGAATTAAGACACTACACGAAAATAATAGAGGAATATATGGGCACATCAAAATACATACAAAAATTATGTTAAAGTATACTAATTATATTATCTAATCTTTTTATATAATAGGGACATGTGATAAATTTTTATTCTTGATTGTCAAAATTAAATTTTTTACTATTAATTATGATGAAAATACATAAATTTTTTTTAAATTAGAATAATTATAAGTCTCAAATATTTTGATTTCAAAAATTCATTTATTCAAAACTGAAATAAAAATTCCAGCAATATTTTCTTTTAATTAACATAAAATTCATTTTTTCCTAGATTGATAGAATCTATATTTGTTCCATGATAGATTTATAATATAATAAACGAAATAATTAATTTATACCAGTGTAAATATGTATTGACAGTTCACGAAATGAAAGAACTAACTTACACCAGTATAATTAAGTATGGATAGTTTAGTAAATGAAAGTAATAATTTATCACAAATTTTATTAACTTTATCGTACGTAATAAATAATTTTATACTATATTAATAAATCTTGTGATAATGAGCATTTTAAATAAAAAATTAAAATTGAATTTTATTACCTTTATCTTAATACAATAAGATCATTTTATCATCTCATAAAATTATAAACAAGTAATATATTAAATAATTTTAATTATTTAAATTTACTAACATTTTATTAAACCAAACTCTTTATATATCATTATTATCTTTATAATTTTGAGAAATACACGAAAAATAAGAACTGCGAATGACCTATATGAAAAGATTTTACTATTTCAGAGGTAATTTTATTCAAAACGTTACGATTTGTACAATGATTAAGAATTGAGAAAGAATGTTTTTCCACAGTTTAATAAATAAAAAACGCTATTGTTGATAATAAGTTATTACCGTATGAGAAGATTGTTAACAAACCAAACGTTAAAATACAATTCCAAAAAAGAATTTCGTCGAATTTCATTATAGCTAATTGCTATATATTAAGGGTGGCAGTACAATCTATAAGTTGTTGGTTTCTATTGCAAAGGCAGGATTGTGTATTTAAATAACTAAACTAGCTAATCAAAATAGGAGTCTTCATATGGCACGAAGAACATGGCAGCAGCAGTAAAAATGGATAATTTCCGAGGCTTTGCTTGACACGGAAGAAAGAGCATGAACCAGACAACGACTTTGCAGAGAAATGGAAATCTATGTTACTCGGATTTGAGTGTTGTGGTACAAGAAAAATGAATAGTCGGAACAACATAAATGGGAAGTGCCTGAAAGTCATCATTGTTAACGGAAGGCGACACGAAGGTGTGGAAGTTCAAAAGGAGAGCCCGGGGATCCTTCACTGCTCTGGGAATCTACCTTCCATGCATCTTGAACTTGAGCTGCAAATTGCAAGTTCCACAGAACATCATCAACAGAAGGCCTCTCTGCAGGGTTCTTCACTAGACATCTTACACAAATCTCCATCATTGTCTTCAATGATTGATCCGAACAAGATGTCCGAACTGCCGGATCCGCTACAAGTCTTCTCGTCACATCATCGGTTGCCATGATTGCCTCTAACTGCGCAGGTTTGAAATATAGTGAATTAATGATTTGTATACACTGAGTTCCATTGGATGTTATTAGTATTACCTGTTTTTTGAGAATTTGCACTTGTTTCCTGGATTTTGATGGCCTCCCAAGAATCATTTCGAGTAAAATAACTCCAAAATCATAAACATCAGACTCATCATCATACCTTACCCTGTCATGAAACAACAGCCAAGGGCAACAGTTTTAATTAAACATCATACTTTAGAAGCTCCCTTATTGACACCGACTTAATTTTACACCTTGTACTAGTACTTGGATCCTTGGGTGGAGCAGATGTTCCACGGCCCACCTGCAAGATCGAGTAGCTGTAAATACGATCGCAATCCTGCGAATTCGAAAGAAGAAGTTTGTTGAGAATGATATTGTTATTCGGTGTCCTTACCTTGTCTTCAGTCTCTGCTAATAAGGGCAGGTTGTAACTGCTAATCTTTGCAACAAGGTTCTGGTCCATCAAAATATCAGTTGTTTTCAGATGATTGGAGTACACAGCATGCGTAATCCCAGTATGCAAAAATTGGATGCCCTTTGCTATCCCGATTGCAGCCGATATGCGTTGTGCCCATGTAAGTGAATGTTTGCCATGGCCTCCTGCAAACCAGAATGTCAGACATAACAAACAATCTAAACACATAGATATGGTAAAATGAACATTATTTGAAGGACTCTTCAAGGGTCATATCCGGAAAAAACGAAAGAGTCGAGCTCTATGGAGAAGAGGGGTTAAATAGTGTGGCCTCAAATCTCGGTCCAGAAAATTTTAACACAGAGATTAAGGATTACCAGATATCCAGCTCCTGAGAGTGCCATTTGGTACATATTCAAAGATCAGAAAAATTCTGCTGACACTTGAATCATCCAAGTAACATTCAAAGCAATGGCCTAGAGCACTGACTAAATGGCGATATCTCAATTTCGAAATAAGCTCTACATGGTGCATAAAGCTTTGTGTGCTATGGCTTTTCTTCATTTTCAGGCATCTAATGGCCAAAAATGTTCCATCTTTCAGCCTACCTCTATACATCTGAAATCATAAAAATCAATGTGTTGGAAGATTTACCAAGGTAATTTTCCCATAATTTTGTTCTAGATAATCGAAAATACAATACTCGGTTGCAAAATTGTTGAAGAACAAGCTCACTTCTTCCGTATGAATCAGATTCAGTTTTGCCAATGATAAGGCTATGGGTTTTGAAATCCGATCACCGACCTAAACAAAACTTCAGTACCATATCGGAGAATCATTGAACTTTTAATTAAGCTCTTGTTATGATAACTATATCAGATACCTGTCCCTGAGAACCTTCACCCATGAAAGCAGTTGTGTCAAAGTTGTTTGTAGCAACCTCAAGTTCTTCTAATGAAAAGGTTCGATAAGCCGGTAGTCCGAGTGCTCCCGTATGCATCGTTTGCGACATATACCCTTCAAGTAGCCGAAAGTCATATAGTTAGAATGCTGGAGTCGTCATTAACTACAGAAATAGAGATAGGATGGAGTCTTACTTGCATCAGTATGTGATTTCGATGTGTACACAGTTGATGCTTTCTCTGCAATCAATCTTGTAGTAGGTTTTTTTATTGTCTTATCCGAGTTCGACCTCCGAACAAACATGAAAACAAGCCCGAGAACTACTATTCCACCAATGATTCCTCCGGTTGTGGCCATAGCAAGAGCTACTTTAGAAGTTTTGGACTTCTTCTGGTGAGTTAAGATTCCCACAGCTAAGGCTTCATTATGACAGAAGGAGAACGGATGTTGGTTTTCGTTTCCTGTCGCCAGGCAATTTCGAGCATACAGGGAAACTCCGCCTTTCAAATCTGAGAGACAGCTTGGCAAGTGTCCAGACAAAAGGTTTGATGATAAATCTGCAAATTCAAGCTCTGCATTGCAGGAAGTGTTTTCAAATAGCATCCCACTTAGCTTGTTGTCTGCAATATTCAAGTAAGTAATGGAAGGTAGGGATAACAATGATGGAGGAAATGGCCCAACAAATATATTGAATGACAAGTCAAGCCATTCAAGTTGGTAAAATGAGCTCAATTCAGAAGGAATGCCAGATCGAAACCTGTTCTTTCCCAGTACAAGGCGAACCAACTTGTTGCCAAGCTGAGGAAACCGAGGCCCGAAAGCATTATCTTCTAGATCAAGCTCTTGAAGATATGTCAAACTGCTAAGATCAGGAACTTCCCCATACAAATGGTTATGTGAAAGCACCAGAACTCGAAGATTCTCCAAACGGTTAAACGATTCAGTTAAAGAGCCATTGAACAAATTCTTCCTCAAACTCAGAACAGTCAGAATGGGAAACGAACCGAGCCATTCAGGTAGCTGACCATAGAACATGTTATCATCAAGTATGAGTGTTTGAAGGCCAGTGACAGATGAAAGCTCACGAGGGATGGTTCCGTATAGCGAATTCGAACTCATGTTAAGAATTTCCAACGAGACTAAACGCGAAATTTTACCAGGCAATGGCCCCCATAAACCAAGAGAAACCAATGTAATAACTTTCAGGTCCTGAAGCTTAACAAGTGCTTTGACAAAGGAATCCATGGAAAAGTTTGTAGGCAGCAAAGGAGTCCCTTTACTTCCAATTATATGCAGCTGAGTTATGCTTTCCTCATAGCAGACCACAGTTACTTGGGATGTCGGTTCGATGTTGCAGAAGTCAATCGAGCTATTCCAGCTACTCAAAATGTCTGGATAGCTCAACAACGATCGAATTCGTAAAAGGGTTCGAGTCTGGGACGATTCTTTCTGCTCTGACTGATTGATTAACAGTAATATTACAGCAAGAACTAGAACCATCTGATGATTGAATCTCTTAGCCATTCGAAGCATATACAGCAGCAGCATTAGGCCGGTGAAAAGCGGAACCGAAGCAAGCAGCTTTGAAGGACTAGCAACTGAGCAGAAGTTGCAGATATACCATCAACTCAAAACAAGCAGCAATCTTGCAATAGTGTCCAAATTATGCAGAAAACCTAGCAAAATGGGGTGTAGTAATTTGTGTCAGTCAATCACTGAATCTCATATTCACAAAGATCACATTAAAGAAACCTCTGCAAACATTACCATAATCATGAAAATTAAGAAAAGGAATAAACCCAAAGAGAGAGAAAACTGAAATTTTAAAATTTAGCATAAATATTACCATTTGAGTAGATAAACATTACAATAGCTTGAATCAGATAGAAAACTGAAAATGGTAGATACAGACAAATTTTGGACCTTGAACTTCCTGCTGGAGAGCATTCAAGAGACAGTTAACAAGTCACAATCATAAGATCAAAGAAACCAATAATTGTGACTTGAAAATGAAGAAATTCCCAAACCAAAAACAGGAAACCTCTCAAAAAGCAACTTAAACCAGATTCAGATTATGGACTCCCACTTGCATATGGTACCCACTTCAGTTTGTTTTCTTTTTCTTTGAACTGTCCTTTTTAACACTTTTAATCACCATTGCCAAGACAAGGGCAAAAAAACCATATCAACCACACAATTAGTGATGAACCTGTAGATCCTATAGAGCTGTGTCAGTTTAGGGTTGATGATGCAAGCCAATACAATCAAATGACACGGGTTCAAAAAAAAACTAGTAAAAAAATGTCAAATGTTTGAAAACCAAAGCTGACCTGTAAATCCCACAAACTGACAGTTCAGCTTAGAAACAAGTTTCTTCTTCCATCTTCCCATAGCTTTTGTCACTGTTGTTCATTTACTTTTATATATTTATTTCCTTAAAAAGGGTGTTAAAGAGAAACTATATCTGAAAAAGAAAAGCAAAAGAAAAGAAGAAGAATTCCTGCAGAAGATTGCAGAAAACTGACACAACCTTTATTCTCCATGCTGAGAATCCCGAAGCAAACAGGTTTTTATGAGAGTGAAGTTGATCAAATTTTTAATAAATAATTGGGTCAGCAGACTAGTGTACAGAGTAGAGTGTAAGCTTTCGCTTTCATAGTTTGTGGGGTGTGATCATAGATTTAAATTGTAACTGCGGTTACACTTTCGATTATCTTACTTTCATTGTAATTATTTTATAGCGATTATAGACATAACAATAATTATTGTAATAATACAATAATAATTTTGAATGATGTCTTTACCACTGTATAATAGTAGTTATTCTTATAATTTATTCAAATATTTTCTGGTGAGGTGTGACCCCCATATTCTATGTTTGAGATTGTTAGCTTTCATTGCTTATTCCTGGTTTGGTACTTAAGGGTAAGTCCCACTGGCATTTAAGTTTCATGCTGAACTTTTTCACATTAACAAATTCAGTTTGTTTGTTCCATTGTTATCTGACTGGAAGTGGTGAGTGGGACAATGTTTCCGTATCAGTTTCATATTTACGATTCAATCCTAAATCTTAAATCTTTAACCTTAAACTCTAAATTTTAAATAAAATATTATTTTCTTGTAAGTATGTGTTTTGGTGTAATGTTTTAAGTTTTTTTGTTTGTTTTATAAACTAAATTAGGCAGTTGATTCGAGTTTTATTGTCTACACCGCAACCCTAAATAATGAAGCGTTTAAGCAACAAGATCATTTCTTTACATTATTCATGTAATTTGATTTGCTCTTTAAAAAGTTAACAAGTTATTTGTTTTGGGGGTAAGAGTGTAAGAAGCTTTTCAACTTTTCCGAAACAAATTAGTAAATAGGATGAGTTGTGGATGTTGAAAATCACCATTAATTACATATAATGATATTCACTGCTAATGTAAAATAGTTAATATTCATAAATGATTATTATGTTTTTTAAATGGTTATATTTGTTATTTGGATTTTTAAAAGAGTTAGAAAATATACATTAAACTTTATATTTTATTAAAAAAATTTAATATAAAAAAACTTAAATTATATCTATTTTTTCATTTAGGTGCCTAAACTTTTTTTCAATGAATCTAAGTGTCTAACGTTATAAAACGTTACTATTTTAAGTGTCTCAGCTGTAATGGTCATTAAAAATTTGGTTAAGTTAAGTTACACATGTTGCATTTATATAATTTTGAAAATTTATTTTTTTGAAAAAAACTTATAAATAATTTATTTTAGAAAAACCCTCAATATTTTTCTAAAATACCAAAAAAACCCAAACTCCTTAAATCTTCCATTCCACCCCATATTGATATTTGGTTGAGCGGAATCATTCCCGGCGAGTGCGAGGGTTTTCTATAAAGCAATGATGAAGACCAAATCCCTATCCGTCAGATGTGAGAAGAATATAGAGTTCACTCTTTGAGTTTATCGATAACGACCTCATATGGGTGATCACTGTGCTTTTTATCACCTACTGTATAAAGGTGGGATGACTAAAGTGGAGGACTGCAACTGGAGTTTTGTGTGACAAGAAGTTTCCTCTAAAACTTAAGGGAAAATTTTATAGAATGACAATACGACCAGCACTGCTGTATGGATTAGAATGTTGGGCAATCAAGAAGGATCACGTAAGGATGATAGAGGCTGCATAAATGAGGATGCTTCGATGGGCATGTGGTAGGACTCTATGGGACATGACACCAAACTCTACAATTAGGATGTCCTTGGGGGTGGTGCCTATATCCGAAAAATTGAGAGAGGGAAGACTACGGTGGTTTGGACATGTCCTTAGGCGACAACCGTCAGATGCGGTCAGGAGGGTAGAGTCGATTACAGTCGATGGTGCCAAAAGGAGAGGACGACCAAGGAGGAAGTGGGTAGACTGTTTGAGATCTGATTTGAAGGATTTAGGCCTTACCAAGGACATGACCTCTGATAGAAAAGTATGGAGACTTAAGACCAGGGTAGCCGAATAGTGTGGGTCGCAGCCATAAGGTGTAGCATCTCTGTCTTCTTTTTAATGCCATTGTAGTAATTTCCATGACTTCTACTTTTTATACGTTTCTGTCATTGGAATTTATCAAGGCTTAGAACTAAGGTAGCAGAGTAGTGTTGCCTTTTTTTAAATTTAACCGGGACTTACGTTTCTGTTTATAAACAGAGATTTTTACACAGGAATTACTTTCCATTACAGACACGCATATGAAGATTGCATATGAAGACTGTTCAACTATGTATTTATTGATTTATTTATGCATGCATTATATTTTATGCATGCATTATATTGTGTTCAGATTTAAAGAGTGTCTTGTGCAAGTTTGCTTCAGATACGGTGTCACAATATCATAATGATTTTGATAGATTCGTACAACCTGCTATTCCTCGTTTTGATGGTCATTATGATCATTGGAGCATGCTGATGAATAATTTTCTGAGGTCAAAAGAATTTGGCCCGTTGTTGATAGTGGAATTCAGGAGCCAGAAGCTTGAACCAATTTATCGGATGCACAGAAGACACAGATTGAAGCACAAAAGTTGAAAGATTTGAAAGCTAAGAATTACATGTTCCAAGCAATCAATCAATTAATTCTTGAAATGATGTTTTGCAAGGATACAACAAAGCACATTTGGCATTCCATGAAGAAGTATCAAGGCAATGCAAAGGCAAAGCGTGCATTGCTTCAAACTCTATTGAGACTTTACGTATGAAGTCAGGAGAGATTATTCCAGACTATTTCTCCAGGATGATGGCAATCATGAATAAGATGTGAACTCATGGGAGAAGTTTGAAGAGGTTGCTTTCATTGAGAAGAATCCAAAGATTTGGATATTCTTTCTATTGATGAGCTCGAAAACTCGTTGATGATTCATGAGTCAAAATTCACCCTACAGGAGAACGAGGAACAAGCTTTGCAGGTAGTGTCAACTTAAAGAGACTTTAGACGTGGTAATAGTAAGTGGAAGGGAAGAAAATCTTACAATGCTGAAAAGGTAAACTCAGATTGAATGCTTCTAATGCCATAGGTATGGTCATTATCATAGTGAATGCTATACCAATCTAAACAGAAGCAGTGAAAGAGGCCGAGGCAGACGCTATAGAAAAGGTCGTGATAGAGAGTGGATAAAATTTACAGAAACAATTGAGGAAGAGAAATAAGTTACTCGTTAATGGTGTGTGATCTGAAGGAGAAGACTCGAAAGAATTTATGGTATATTGATACGGGATGCAGTAATCACATGAGTGGTGACTGATCAGCATTCTCTGAACTAGATGAGCATTTAGAAAAAACAATAAAATTCGGTGCTGACTCTCTTGTTTCTGTCCAGGGACATGGGAAGGTGAAGATCTAAACAAAGCTCTCATCCCTCCAAAGTATTTCAGATGTCTTCTATGTTCCAGATCTTAAGAAAAATTTACTTAGCGTGGGCCAACTCCAAGAAAAGAGCTATGAGGTGATTTTCAAGGATGGAGTGTGCAAGATTCAAGACTGCAATCTTGGGTCAATCGCTAAAGTCACCATGCCAACAAATAAGCTCTTTTAGTTGCTTATTCAACATATTGAACCTGGTCACTCTAGTTTTTCAACACAATAGACTAGTTTAGCATGGCTTTGGCATTACAGATATGAACACTTAAATTTTGGAGGACTGCAAACATTACAACAAAAGAAGATGGTTGCGGATCTTCCTGCACTTGATATTCCCTCAGAAGTGTGTCAAGCTTGTATTGTTGGAAAGATGCCTCGAGATAGTAATTTTTGATGAGCAAACATTCTGACTGTGGGGAGAAAAAAGGAACAACCAACAATTGAAGCCAATTCTAGTAGATTTCAGTGATAAGACGATGGTACCAGCAACAGAACAATCAACAATTGAAAGCGGATCATCAAAATGAAGCAACAAAATAACCTACAACTAAAGTTGATCAACAAAATGAGGGTGCTAAAAGAATCAGAAGGCCATTATGTGGTCGGCGAGAATCAATTTAAAGATAAAGATCCTCTTTCATTTTTTTCTTTATTTGCAGATTGCGATCCTGTAAGCTTTGAAGATGATTGGAAAGACTCGAAGGCGCAAAAAGCAACGAAGGATGAGATTGCTGCAATTGAGAAAAATAACACTTGGGAGTTGACTGATCTTCTAATAGGACTAAAGCCAATTTAAGTTAAATGGGTTTACAAGACTAAATTCAAGAAGGATGGAAAG